ATACACATACACCATATACACCCCCAACACACCACACACACACACATAGAGACATATACATACTACATACACACACAACACATACACATGCACACAGAGATATATACATATACACCACATACACCCCCAACACACCACACACACACACAGTCATACACACACAACACATACACATGCACACACAGATATATACACATACACCATATACACCCCCAACACACCACACACACACACACACAGAGACATACACATACTACATACACACACAACACATACACATGCACACAGAGATATATACACATACACCACATACACCCCCAACACACCACACACACACACACACAGACATACAAACACAACACATGCACAAACAGATATATACACATACACCACATACACCCCTAACACACCACACACACACAGTCATACACACACAACATATACACATGCACACACAGATATATACACATAGACCATATACACCCCCAACACACCACACACACACACACACACACAATATAACACTCAACACACAAACAGGCTACACATACACACCACACATCCAACACAACACACACAGAGATATACACATACACTTGTACACACACTACACATATGTACACAGAGACATATAACACACTACACATGCATGCGCATACAGACTACGTATACAACACACTACACAGAGAACCACGCACATACATGCTGTACACAGACATATGCACATTACACATATACACACACCACACACACTGCACGCATACGCGACTGGGATCTCTTAGTAAGGCTGGGGAGAGGCAGAGAGACAACATGAGTTACACTTTCGTGTAGTGCCGCATACAGTGCCGGCTGTGACATTGTATGTATCTGTCAAATCCTGAGGAATAATAACTCATCGGCATTGGCAAACCTGTCCTCAGCCAGAATTGCCGCGTGTTTTGTTGGGGGGCCCGGGCTGGTGGCACTCCTTTCTCGGCCTCCACAGTCCAGGGCTGGCCCCACCTCCGTCCGGGCTTGGCTCAGTGGTTCGCTCAGGCTGTCACCTTGCACCCTGTTCCTGGCCACATGCAGCTTCTCGGCAGCGGCTGAGGGACTGCTGCCCAGCCTGGCCCTGCTCCGGTCCCAGAGCGCTGACCCCAGCCAATGGCAGGGCCTCGGGCCCGGGCCGCTCTCTGCTCAGCCAGTGGGTCCCTGGCGCCTGCACCTGTGGGGCCGTGGGGGGGGGGGGTTTCCTGGGTGTGAAAGGAGGATTTCCCTCTCCTGTTTCATACACACACACACACACACACACACACAAATATACATATATACATATATATGTGTGTATATATACACACACATACATATATACATATATACATATATGTATACATATATGTGTGTGTGGATATAGATATTGATATAGCTATAGCTATAGATATAGATATAGATATAGATATAGATATAGATATAGATATATGGTGCCAGTTCTCAAGAAAGGTATTCAAACCGTCACAAAAACCGTGTATAGGTATATTGTGATCACTGGATCATTTTCCAGCCGGAGCAGTGAGTGAAGATCCGCGGAGAAGATGTGAATTTCACGTTAAAACACAGGGCCCGCAGGCTGTGATGCCAGGAGCAGTCCCGCTGCCAGTGCCGCCGTCGGACCCGCTCTGCACGCCGTGACCTGGTTAGGCATCTGCGGAGCCGCCGCTGTAGGCCAGGGCTCCGCTTCCTTTTCTGCCGGCGGGCACAGAGAGGGTGATTGGGTCCCGGCGCCAGATGGAGGTGCAGCTGAGAATAAACCTGTTTCCGGGGAAAAGGCGGCCAAAAGAGGCCCTCGCCGGAAGACAGACCTGCCTGGTGCCTGGGCCCCTCACCCTCCACCTTCCTCACCATTCCTCTTTCTTGGCCGAAGGGTTGGGAATTACTCAGGGTCAAGACGCTTAGGTACCTTCGGCAGCACGGGGCATCCACGTTTGTCAGGAAATAACAGAGTTCCCGCCCCGCTTCCCTCACAGAATCTTTGAGGGTCAGAATGGGAACATGGAATCCCTTTAACTCAAAAACGACAGAAAAACTCCTCTCGTCATCCACACAGCAGGCCTGAAGGATAAGCAGGGGCGGGTCCTCTCGCCGGTACCCGGTCCGAGAGGCTGGCACCCAGGACCGTGTCCTAAGACCGTGGGGTGGTGGAGGGTGTCCGCGGGAGAGCCGAGATGGAGGCGGTCTCTCGCCGGCCCTGGTGTCGTAGAGGGAGGCCTGTGAACGTCCTTCCATGGGCTGTCTGGCCCCGGGAGAGCTGACTGAGGTCTGACTGTGCGGGAGCCGCCCCCGTAGGGAAAAGGTGGGGTGGCCCCGTCTGCGGAGAGGGGAGAATGGGGCTCTCACCCCATCCCAACTGCCCGTGGGGAGGGGCGCTCACAAAGGGTGTGAGAGGCAACAACAAAGGGAGGGGAATGTAGGAGTATCTGGGCGAAATTTAGAGGAGAAAGAGTCTAAAACTATTGTAATCAGCATGGATGTAATGAGACGTTCAGCATATTGATTCCATTGCTATTCATTGGAAATAGGTGTGGAAACCTATTTAATGTGTCCTTCTGTTTTAGAAAATATTCCTGTTTGCCCCTCTTCGTGGCCTGTTCTCCCCCTGGCTTTCCCACTGGTCCCTGGCACACGGTTGCTTTTCCTGCGGGGTTCCTGGGGGGATTCTGGGGCCGCAGCTGGGCTGGCCGGGGTGGTGGGGGAGGACATGGTGGAGGTGAGTGCTGAGCCCAGGAACTCCCATCCAGGAAGAAGCGCTCGGAGTGTTTCTCAGGCAGAAAGCTGTGCGTTGTCCACTGGGCCTCTGCCTGAGCCCTGGCGGCTGTGTGGCTGGGGAGGACTGGGCCCTGGGGGAGGAGTGGACTCAGCAGGAGGGACCGGCGGAGGGTGACTCAGGGACAGTGCCGGCAGCACAGGCCTGGCGTCCTCGCTTTCCTGGGTCTTTGAAAAGCCAGCGTGACTTCTCCCAGCCCTTCGTGCAGTCCTCCTCTTAGGGACCCACACCGCGTCCGCACTCCCTGGCAGAGGCTTTAACCACGTCTACACCGGAGATCGGCGTCTCTCTCCTGCACTGTGTTCGGTTTTGTTTTTACATCCTCTAGAGCAGTGTTTCCCAAACTTTTGACATATGTGCACCCCTTCTATAATTTTCATAAGGCTGAGTACCCCTCGTACTCACAAGAACGTAGAATTAGGAGCAGCTAAGCACGGTGCAATGCATATCCCCACCAAACTCCGGGGCAACATGTACCCCCACCAAACTCTTCCCGTACCCCTGGGGGTACGCGTACCACACTTTGGGAAACACTGCTCTAGAGTAGCATTTCACCCAGTGTGGCCTGTTGCCATCCAGCACAATCTGGGCCCTGGTGTCTCCTCCTCCGCCGTGGATACGTAGCCTGGGGGTGCAGCGTGGGGGCTCTCGGCTCGGCCTGAGAATCAGCCCGTAGGAAGTATACCAGGGCCGGAAGGATGCAGAAATCACAGCAAACATCCAAAATACTTTAAATTTAGCATTATTTGTCTTTTACATTTCTACGTAATTTACACAGTGGATTAAAATTTTAAATGGGCGTTAAAGGCAATGGCTTTGTTTAATAAGTGACAGGCTAACGAAAACAGTGAAAGTCATTAACCAAGTACACGGCCTTGGATACTGCAGTGGAAAAGCAGGAATTGCGGTCCCGTTATCTGAGTGCCGGCGGTGTGAGTGTCTTCAGGGGAAGAGAATTTAGAGAGGAGACGGTGCTTTTAAGGATGGACGGGTGGATGGATATTCATTTATTTTTAGTAAAAAAAAAAAAAAATTCTTATTACTTTTGTAGAGTTAATAAGAATGCCGAACACAGTTTCATAAATCTGTAGATTTCCGTGTAAAAACCTACAAAACGATAGTTGTCTTTTTTTTTCTGTCATATATAGTCGTGCTTAAAAATATTACTTATCTCTGACTCCCATGTACAGTAAAAAGGATAAGGAGCCTTCAGGGAGATGGCGGGTTTGGGGTCCCAGGCAGGAAACGTAGTGCGAGTCTGGAACTCGGGGTTGTGCCGGGAAGCAGGGACCTTACCAAAGACTTCCAGGGCGTTGCCAAACAGCCGGGAGCCAGCCCGGCACCCTCCCCACGCTGTCATAGAGAGGGGAGCTGCCGTGGTCGGAAGCACACCAAACACGTGTAGGTCCACACGTTCACTATTACACTCCAACGGCGAAACCCCACGTGTTACCTTTGGAAAATATAATAGCAGGGAACCGCCTCTCTGTTTTGAAACTTGGTAAATTAAGGAAAAGTGCCAGGCATCTCTCCTGCCTTTCTTACGTGACTGGTACCTCATGGGGAGCATTCTCTGTATAGGTTTATTCCAGCCAGAAGGTCAAGAATAAATAGTCGACCATCACTGGATGGTCTCTGAAGAATTGTTAGGTGCCACCGATGGCTAACAAACCACAGGAGTCAGTCGGCCGTACTGTGCCTCTGCGGGAAGCTCAGACATGGCGTGATCTCGCCACCCCAGCCCACAGAGCTCCAGTCAGGTCAACCATTAGATCCAAGCGCCTGTGCATGGAACACAAGGGTCACGACCGCATTGTAAGGCGTAAAAATGTGGACCAACTGTATTGTACACATGAAACTAATACAGTATTGTTCACCGACTCTGCTTAAAAAATTTTTGAGAATTAAAAAAACAAAAACAAACGGGGGACAGAGGAATGTGTTAAGTCACACCAATGGGATACCGTGAGCAAAATCCAGATTATGGGAACTCTACGAGGCAACAGTTCCTTCAACAATAAGAACATTGGAGACGAACCTATAACTAATGGGAACCCAAAGTGGCAAACGTGTGGACTGGAAAGAGAAGAGAAAGGGCTTAGCCAGAGGAGGCCTTGAACAGATGGATGTCCTGCTTCTGAGTTGATTTTTTTCCTCAATAAGGCCAATAAGCATGTTTGTTTGTTTGTTTGTTTTCTAGTTGGGGAATGGCGGTCAATGTGTATTCTACCTCGATAACCCAAGAGACTATGAGCAGACATGACATCATCGCCTGGGTCAATGACATAGTGTCGTTAAACTACACGAAAGTGGAGCAGCTCTGCTCAGGTAAGACTGCTTCTCCGCGTTCACCTCACTGCTCCCTGCCGTGCCGGTGTGATCTCACGAACCACAGCTGACACCTTCGGGCAGGAGAAGCATGTCAGCGCTGACCTGTAACTAAGGGGAGAACTCGGGTCCGACTCAGGGATATATGAAGGGCCCAGCCCTCGAGCATCGGGGAGCACAAGCCGCCCCGATGCAGCCTTGGCTGGGCCCGCTGGCTCTGTGCGGCCTCTCCCCTGTCACCCCTGCCCCCACCCCTCTTCTCAAGTACAGATTGGGTCTCGCAGCTCGCTCCCTCGTCCCTGACATTTTCAGGGCTCCGTGTGGCCCTCCCCACGGTGGTGAAGGTCCTTCCTGTTCTGGCTGCAGCCCATCCCCGGGTTTCGCTGTGCACATCTGCCCTGCGCCGCAGCCCCCCAAACACTGTTCCCCAAGACTCTTCCTCTGCATCCTGGGGCCCTTCCACGCCCCGTTGCCCAGGTCTTTCCTCTCCCTGCCACACGCATTTTAAAATCTGCTGGTCATCTTGCCCTCTGTGGAGGGTCCCTGAGGCACAGCCTGCAGAGTAAAATGCCCGTGGCATTTCGCTGAACTTCACCTTGCCCTCGGTGAGGCCTTCTGTCTTCGTAGTGCTGCTCTTGCTGTGCATTCTGGGGCTCTCTCACGTTTTATTTTTCATTTGCTGCCCAAAAGCCCACACGACTAACGCAGGTTCCTCCGTCATGAGCAGCCCCTTTGCTGATGGCACACGCCACTTTGGATTGCACTGAGTGCGTATCCTGCCCACAGAGCGGGGTGCGTCCATGTGGATCAGGGGCTGGGGCTGGCTGTCAGAAAAAGAGGCGCAGACAGAAGAGGGCGAGGAAAGGAGAGAGAAACCCCCAGGCCCGGTTCTTACTACGTTAAAAGGATCCACGGAGCTTCCTGTGCCGGTCAGAGGGAGGTTTGGCTAGCGAATGAGAGCAAATCAGAGGGGTGTTTTCTTTTTAGATACATAAAATGTTATGAGTAATAGACATAATTGCTCTGCAGACCTTTCCAATTTCTCAAGCCAGAGTCACCAGAATTGTAGGCAGCATCTGCGAAGGGCTCTGAGGCAGGGTCGTAGGGTGATCGGAAAGCAAGCCCTGGCTGCGTCCTGCGGCCTCCGGGCCTCGCTGCCGTCCTACGGCCGGAGGGAACCTGGGGAGACACACTGGTCGCCGCTGAGCAGAGAGTTTCCATTGGGATGGCGCCTGGCTAGCAGAGGTTACTGGGTAGATGGTTCCGAGGATAGAGTTTAGGTTGAGAGATACCTTTCTGCTCTGAAACGGGTTTTTCATGGGGGGAAAAAAAAGTTTGGTTTAGGCCAGTGGTCGGCAAACTCATTAGTCAACACAGCCAAATATCAACAGTAGAACCATTGAAATTTCTTTTGAGAGCCACATTTTTTAAACTTAAACTTCTTCTAACACCACTTCTTCAAAATAGACTCGCCCAGGCCGTGGTATTTAGTAGAAGAGCCACACTCAAGGGGCCAAAGAGCCGCATGTGGCTCGGGAGCCACAGTTTGCCCACCACTGTTTTAGGGGATAGTTTCTTCAAAGTCTAGCCTTCAAAGTGTAAAAGTTATGCCCGTGGGCCCTCCTGGGAGCTGCCTGAAAATGCAGATTCTTAAGCTCCTTGACCTTTCACCTTGGTATCTCAGGTGTGAAGCCCACAATCTGCATCAGAACAAGCCCCCACTCCCACCTTCACCCCCTACCTCGTCCCGTCCCTGTCCCCATGCTGTGTGCTGCCACCAGGAGCTCCCAGTGCATTTCTGAGAAAACCCAAACCACTCAGGCTGCAGTTAAGTTATCCGGAGCCGACCTGGCCAGTATCCTCATTCATAATTCAGCCTGTGACTTTCCTCTTGTCTTCATCGGTGGCGTTTAGCGGGAGAGTGCTCTCTCCCCGCTTATTTATTTATGAGTTTATTTCTTTATTTATGCCTCTCATTGTTCTGGAAGGCATTTAAGGCAGCCAGGACCGGGCTGTTGGGATGAAAACAAAACCAAATTCTGTCGACCAAGTGATTTACCCTCGTTATACTTCCGAATAGTCACCTTTCTGGGGTAATATATTTCCCTCAACCTTTATTTTCATTCCTCTATTTTTTTTTTTATCTTTATTGTTGAAAGTATTACGTACGTACGTCCCCCTTTTCCCCCACTGACCCCTTCTAGCCTGCCCCCTCCCTCCACCCCAGGCCTCACCACCCACTGTCTGTGCCCATGGGTTATGCATATGTGCATACAAGCTCTTTGGTTGATCCCTTCCCACCCACCCCCACCTTTTTTCTGAAGTTTTGTTCCATTTAACGCCTTGCCGTTGACATGCAGTTGTATTTTAGTAGTATGCTGTGGGAAAGCACACAAAATAGCCTCACACATTGAGACTGACGTTTTTCCTTGTTCCACGTGGTTGGTTCTCTCCTTCTCTCTTCCTGAAGACGTGGGCTCTAGCTCTGGCAGCCTCCTTGGTGGTTTTCCTCTGTTTGCTTTATTTCCTAGTTCGTTTTTCATTTCCAGCTAAGAGATCTCCCTCCGGCTACTGTTAAAACTGACTCAGCTTTTCTCCAGCTCCTGAGAAGCTGACCAATTGTGTTCACATTTGCATTCCGTTTTCTTTAGAACGTCCCGCCTTTATGATAAATAGCATCCCATATGTTTTTAATGTGAGCATTTAAAAAACTCCTTAAAAGGAAAATGGTGTGAGAAGGTAAGACACTTGGAAACACGTTGCAGTAAATTGTAAAACAAGGATGCACTTTTAGCTCCTGTTATTGTATCTCAAGGATAGACTCTTATGAAAACTTCTTTTGAACGTTAAATCTGGATCAGATAATATGTATTTGGTTTGCATGCAACTTATAAAGTCTTGTGAAAAGCAAATTCAAGAAAAACAAAAACAAAAACAAAAAACATATAACAAGCTGTATAAATGGAGAGAGACTATCCATGGAAGTGAATACCACATGGTGTATGGCTCACCTGAATCTGTTTTGAAAAGCAGACATATTTTGGGGTTTCCCTGGGTGGAATGGGGGGAGGGGGGCTAAGCCACGTAAAATATCAGATTGGCTCTGCACAAAAATATTTCATGCTTTAGTTGAATTGTTTATAAAATGTATAGGGGCTTTCGGAAGAATGAGATGTTCTGCTTGATGTTAGTATCAGACCAAACCAGTTTACTGGGTATTTTGTAAAGTATTCAAGAGGGAGAAAGGGCAGCTCAATTCTAAAAACCCCTAAAGCGGCTTTAGCAAGATAACTGTCTTTGGAGATGGTAGCAAAGGGAGGGAAGCACAGAAAAGAAGGGGGAAGGGGCATGTGAAGGGAGCGGAAGAGACATACAGTTTCCTGTTCCTTTCCACCCCTCACCCCTGCCCTAACCAGCTTCTGGTCCTCGGCCGGGTCACGGCCAGCGCTTGGCCAGCCGAGCACCTGACCATCGACCCCCCATTTCCACAGGCAGGTGCAGACCACCCTCCCTCTGTGCCTCCCCGTCCCGACCCTCCCCCGACAGGCCCAGCAACCAACCAACTTCCTTGTCACTGCCTGGTTAGCAGCTCAGTTACATCCTGAGCATTTTAGTATTTTAATGTAATTTGAATTAAACCATTTTTAGATGGAAAGTTAGGTTTTTCTGACTATCCTTAAAAAAGGGGTGGGGGGCGGGGAGATGAGGATTTAATTCAATTTCAACTTGTGCTTCTCCTAATTGTTTCAAGCTTTGCCTTGGGTCCAATTTCTGGCCTTTTCTTCTTCCAGAAAAACTTCTGAACCTGCTGATCATGCTGTGGCCATGGTCGTCACATGGACAGTTCTGGGTCCCGGGCGGCTCCCCTGTCCGGAGGGTCGGGCTGCACAGCCACGCCCAGGACCTGCAGGGCCGGGCTCTGGGCCAGAGGGCGTGCTCTGGGGCCACGGTTGATGGCGTCTGGGCTTGTTACATAGATTGATCCCTTCCCGCGCGGTGTCTGCTGTGCCTCCTTCCCTCTGTCTGCAGAGACCTGTCAGGAGGGCAGGTCAGCGATGAAATCAGCTCGGCAGCTAAATTTAGTAGCCCTTCTCTCCTTGGCTCTCGGGCTGAAACCAAGTAAGGCTATTTCATCAGCATCCGTAGCTCTGGAGCTTGCCTGCTTGGCTTTACAAAGTCACAGACTGTTTGCCGCAAGCAAGTTAAGTCACCTTGGCTTGTGTTACTGCTGCTGGAGACGTGATTGTATTGTGATGCCATGTCACTTGCTTGTGATGCCTTATGCAGAGAGGTTTTTGTTTGTTTTTTGTTTTAAGTTTTGGGCTGATAGTTTTTCTCTGAGTTTAAAACAAGTTCAGCATACCAATGGATTGCAGAGCCAGGAGGTGAAGGGCGTGGGGGGGGAGGGGAGAGAAAGCCCCCCTCAGGGTCACTGGCTACAATGGCTCCATGAGGGGGCTGGTTCCAAGGGGGGTTATTTTTTGAGCAGAATGTAGAATACGGCAACTTTTCTTTCTAAAATTACTTGTTTACATATATCTTGATGCTCTGTTGCTAAAAATAAGTTGATATTTTTGTTTTTATTGGTTTGGTTTATTTTTGGTGTTTGTGTTTTTAACTGCGTTTTGTAATACCATTGGGCAAAGTGTGTATGCATTCAATCTCATTGTCAAACCGCCCCTGTACGTTTTTTTACACATGTGTGGATGACCTATCTTTGTAAGCAGTCACATCTCTATTGTCCTCATAGTCATACTCGGTTGGGATAATCAGTTCAGTCTTATTTCACAGATTTTGGCACCCTCTGTGAGCGAGGCCTTGGGGACTCAGCTAGGCCAGACCGGTCCTTGTCCTCTGAGAGCTATACAGCAGGGCACTGCCGACAAAAGGCTCCAGACCGCCCTGTGGGGAGCAGCTGCTTTGCGAGAACTTTGAGCTGATGGAGGAGGGCGGGGGTTGGAACCCAGGGAGAAGGCCTTCATGGGGATTCTCTGGGAGTG